CCCAAAGGAGGAAGATCCAGCGAAGGTACACTCAGTACCAAAAGGATCTGAAAGAAAGTGGGGAGAGTTCTTCATTGGCCCAGCCAAAAGGCTAGACAGAAGAAAGAGAAAGTCCAAAATTGAACCATAGTCCAAAATCAACTCCTCGAAATTGAAGAAGTTTCAGCAAAGAGCAGTTGGCTAAAGTTCACTCTGAACTGAAAGCCAAGGAAAGATCCAGCTTAGCAGGTCTTGAAAAGGCTTTGATGGAAAGCAACAGTGAGACAGAAGGAGAAGTTGACCTATGCCAAAGGAAAGAGATGGTTGAGGAGGAGATGTTTGAAGCCTTCATGGCTGAACAGACATTTTTGTCAAAAAACCAGCAGGAACAAACCATTTGAAGGAAGTCACTAGTATTGAAGTACCAGAATGCAGCATGGAAGATGCTTCTGAAATAACTAAACAAGTTAGCCTGGAAAAGCAAGTGCAGCCAGTAGTTCAATTTGGCTCATTTCCTCCAATGTTAGTGAATATGGTGCATATACTACCATAGGAGTTCCATGCTGAAGATGGAAACCAAGAATGTCAAGAGATTGACCTTATTCCAGTTTCTAGTGAAGATTCACAAGTTAGTATGGTTCAAAATGAATCCAAAGTGGCCACATCGATGAAAATTGAGGACAAGAGTGAGGAAGAAATGAGTATTACTCTCTCATATCCTTTTGAGTATCCTACAACATCCATAACACAGCATGTCAAGCCCTTGTATATCAAGGCTTTTTTCAATGGGATATAGATGAATAAGATATTGGTGGATAACAAAGCAACAGTAAACCTGCTTCCGAAATCCTCTTTGAAGAAACTAGGGAAAAGAAACCCTAGATTAATCCCAACCAGCACAACCATTGCTGGTTTTGTTGGAGATAAACAGATGGCTCAAGATATTTTGCCCATCAACCTGAGTGTAGGAACCAGAGATTGCATAACGACATTCTTTGTTATTGACAGCAATGCTAAGTATAATGCTTTACTTAGCAGGGATTTGATTCACACCAACAAATGTGTGCATTTTTCTCTACATCAGAAGATAATGATGGCCTTGTGCAATGGAGAAATAGAGGAGATCAATGCAGACCCTCAACCCTCTGTCACTTGTGATGACTTTGCAGATGCCAAGTTGTATACTGAAGGAGTAACACCACTCAGTATATTGAGAAAACCTGATGGTTTAGCTGAAGTGACGGCTAATGAGGAAGTAGCACACCTGAAGTACTTGGTACAGGAGAGTGTTGATGAAGAATTCGTCATCAAAGATGATAATGATGCCTGGTTATAGGCAAAAAGACGAAATCCAAGAAGCCAGACCCTTGGCTTTAGTCAAGTTTTCAGCATTGGACTTAAAAGCAATAGTCCAAAAAATTCAAGAACAAAAGAAGGAAGCCATTGTAGTTGGCTGTAAGCATAAACAACAATACGTCAAACCTTTAACTTTTGGTAAATACTGTGTATCGGACATCGAAATAAAAGTCCAGGAAATACAGGGAGAAGAAGCCTTATGGACAGACTTTGTCTATGAAGAAGAGGGCAAAGATGTTGAATCAGAGAAAACAGGAGCAGAACAAAGCAAAGAAATTGTTTCGAAGACAGAAGAAATAAAAAAAAAGAAGCATTAGTGAGTTCTCAAATACAAGACCCTTTGGAAGAAGTTAATTTAGAATAATGTTCTACACAGCAACCCACCTACATCAGTGCTTGGTTAAGTGCTTTTGACAGGGACCAGTTATTGATGATCTTAAAGAGATATAAAGATTGTTTTGCATGGTCTTATAATGAACTGCTAGGATTTGATAGGTCATTAGTGGAACATAAGCTCCCTATGAAGCCTAATTTCAAGCCATACATGCAGAAACCAAGAAGGATGAGTCCTGAAGTGATTCAGAAGGTCAAGGAGGAAATTCTTAGGCTCCTTAAGGTAGGCTTTATTAGAACAACTAGATATGTTGAATAGCTATCCAATATTGTGCCGTGGTTAAAAAGAATAGTAAAATGAAGGCATGCATCGATTTTAAAAACCTAAATTTAGCAACTCCAAAAGATGAATACCCCATACCCATAGTAGATTTATTGGTGGATAATTCAGCAGGGGGACACAAGATTTTATCTATGATGGATGGGCATTTTGATTATAACCAAATCTGCATTGCAGAGGAGGATGTCCATAAGACAGCATTCAGATGTCCTAAGAACATTGGCACCTTCGAATGGGTTAAAATGCCATTTGGCCTAAAGAATGCTAGGGCTACATATCAAAGGGCTATGAAAACTATCTTTCATGATCTCATTGGAGGATATTTAAAGTGTTATATTGATGACATTGTAATAAAATCCCAGTCCATGGAGGAACATTTGTTTCACTTGAAAATAGCTTTCGAAAGAATGAGAAATTTCAAGTTGAAGCTTAATCCTCTCAAATGTGCTTTTGGTGTATCAGTTGAAAACTTCTTGGGTTATGAAGTACACAAGAAGGGAATACAGATTGATCAAAATAAAGCCAAATCCATTATTGAAGCCAAGCCTTCATCAAGTAAGAAAAAAGTACAAAAATTCCTTGGACAGGTTAATTTTCTTTGAAAATTTATTTCTAACACTGTAGAGAAAACTGAAGTATTTTCTTCCTTATTAAGGTTGAAAGAAGAAGAGGAGTTTGTGTGGACAACAGAGTATTAAACTGCTTTCGAAAGAATTAAAGCTTATTTGGCCAAACCTCCAGTGCTGACGCCACCAAAGAGTGATAAGCCCTTGAAGTTGTACATTGCTGTAGTAAAAGATTCATTGAGAGTTTTCTTAACCCAGGACAATGAAGAAGACAAAGAGCAAGTAGTTTATTACCTTAGTAGACTTTTAAATTCTTGTTAATGTAAATATTCAACTGTAGAAAAGCTGTGCCTTGCATTGTATTTGCTGCAATGAAATTAAGATACTATCTTTTACCTACAATTGTCTTGGTAATTGCAATCATAGATTTAGTTAAATATATGTTATCTAGACTTATGTTGAGAGGAAGAATTGACAAATGGATACTAGCTTTATCAGAATTTCATCTAAAATATGTCCCCCAAAAAACAGTAAAAGGACAAATTTTAGCTAATTTCTTGGCAGATCATCCATGTCAGACAGAAAACCAAGAGATAATGAATCTTGGTATGGTTAATATTGAGCCATGACAAATGTGATTTGATGGATCAAAAGCCAATGGTCTAACTGGAGTTGGTGTGGTGATTAAGTCACCACAGGGGGTAGAAACCACACATGATTTCAAAGTTGATGAAATTACTTGTTCCAATAATCAAACTGAATATAAAATTTTAATAATGGGACTGGAAATGCTTATTAGATTACAAGCTCATGCAGTTAATATATTTGGGGATTCACAATTAGTGGTCAACCAAGTGAAAGGAATTTTCAAATATCAAAGTGCAAGCATGTTGTCATATTATGTTATTGCATTACATTTGCTTTCTCGGTTTCAGATAGCAAATGTGAGTTATATCCCAAGATTCATGAATAACAATGCCAATGATGTGGCTTAGAAAGTTTCGAATTTCAAGAGAAGAGATGACACTCAAATGAACATAAGTCAAGCAATATATCAAAAATTAATACCACCCTTAACTAAAAGGAATGTGGTGTTAGAAGTCAATCATAATGACTTACAAGACCAAGATTGGAGGTATCCAATAATGCAGTGCCTAACTGGCCCATCTTCGAAAGCCAACAGAAAGATCAAATTACAATCTATGCAATACATAGTATATGGTAATGCTCTTTACAAAAGGAAAGTAGATGGGTTATTATTGGAATGTTTAGGGCCAAAAGACACATTGACAGCTATGTCTGAAGTTCATGACGGCATCTGTGGTGCTCATCAAACTGGTGTGAAGATGAAATGACTGCTTCGAAGACATTCCTATTATTGGCTAACCATCCTTAAACATTGTATAGAGTATACTAGAGGTTGCCAGGCATGCCAAAAGCATGGCACGATACGACATGTATCAATAATTGATTTGCATGCAGTAGTGAAGCCTCGGCTATTTAGAGGATGGGCTATGGATATGATAGGAAAAATACATCCACCATCTTCGAAGCGTCATTGTTTCATCTTAGTGGCCACAGACTACATCACTAAATGGATCGAAGCTAAACCATATAAGGCTGTAGGCCAAATTGAAGTTATTAGATTCATTAAAGATCTGATTCACAAGTTTAGCATCCCACAAACCATAACTGTGGATAATGAGACTGTATTTGATGGGAAGATGGTAAAGTCATTTCTGGCAGAGTTTGGAATTAGCCTTGTTAATTCCACCCCCTATTATGCACAAGTAAATGGTCAGACAGAATCATCCAATAAGTCTTTGAAAAAAGGAATACAGAGAGTTGTGAAAGACAATTCTAGGGATTGACATAACTTACTGTTAGATGTATTATGCGCTTATAAGACTTCTCTAAGATCAAGTACAAGAGTTACTCTTTATACCTTAGTATATGTGCATGATGCAGTGTTACCTGTAGAAATTAACATCAAGTCCTTGAGGGTGAGATGCCATGATCAGTTAGTTCCAGAGTAGTACCATCAGAGCATGTTCTTGGAATTAGAAAATGTGGATGAAGCTAGAATTTTAACATTAAATAGCATTCTTTTCCAAAAGAAGAAAGCAACCAAAAACTATAATAAGAAAGTCAAGCACATTAGTTTTGACAAAGGTGGTTTGGCATGGAAGACAATACTCTCAATAGGAATTAAAGGCCATAAGTTTGGCAAATGATCACCTAATTAGGAAATACCATATCAAGTTCATAGGGTCTTGCCTTAGGGAGCATACCATTTGAGAAATTTGAATGGGTATATACACTCTAAGAAAATTAATGGCAGGTACCTAAAGCCTTTTTATCCAACTGTGTGGGAAACACAAGGAGTATAGTAAGTGCTAAACAAGAGAAGCATGAAAACACCCAAATAATAAATAAAGAATTCATTTCATAAGGAGTTAAATACATGCAGCCATAAATTGGCCCAAAAGTCAGTACAATATTTCAATTGTTCCCTTACAATTGATTCTTTACTTTTAAGAAATGGGAACAACTGGATGGCTGTAGTCATCTCCTACCTTCGATCAGCCAGTCCTTGGTTGGTGATTTGCAGCTTGGTGGCAGTTCGATCCAAAGCCAGGTTAATTACTGATAACTCTTCCTTTAGTTGAGCTTTCTTCTCCAAAAGTTGGGCTCGAAATTAGGAGACAGAGGAATGTTGTTCTTTCAATTCAGACACCTCAGCATGTATATGTAAAACAAATTCTTGGTCTCTCAACAATTTCCCATCTGCAGCTTTGGCAGCATGACAGATGTTGATATAAAAGTTAATGGTAGCTGCTGCCTGAGATAAATGACTTGAAATAACCATGTTGGATTGCTCAATAACCTTGCAGTACTGGAAGAAACCATTCTTGATAATAGGTCTTTGCAAAGCTTCGAATGGGATCCTCGAGAACAATGTCAGAAACTCCAAACAGATACCCAAATCCAATGAAGATGAGGAAGCCGTACTGGTGGTGACAGAGCTCTCAAAAATTTCCAAGAGAGAATCAGCCATAACCAATGGCTCAGTTTCATTACTGGCTGTTAGAATGGTAGAAGGCATGTCAAAAAGGCTAGCCAATGTAGCTTCGAAAATGTTCATCTTTTCCATTGACATTGTTGGTGCAGAAAAGGCTCTACTAGAAGGAAGAGATGACTGCATAGGGATAGGAGATGAGGATGAAGTGTCCCTAGCAGTTTCCATAGTCCTAGCCACCAGTAGGTCAAGAGAAAAGGGACTGGAGCTGGATAGGGATGGTAGACAAAGAATTGGTGAGCTACCAGTATCTTCTCTGAGAGAATCAACTATCACTGGAGATGAAGTAATAACTGGGATCTCCTCAAGAGGGGAAGGAGCAGCAAGAGTTGTAGGGAGAATAAATTGGGCTGAGTTAAAGGTTAGAAGAGAAAGGTATGGAGTTAAGCCGAAAGATAAGGACATAGGAATGCTTTGCCTCAAAAAAGGTGTGAAAGTGTAAAACCAGGGAGTGAGAGTATTGCCTGAATGGGCTCTACACTTCGAGGCACTTTAGTGCTAGCCTTCTTTTTCTTTTTTGAGGATGCTTCTAATAGTCTTTCAACTTCAAATAAAACTGAAGAAGTCCTTATCGAAGGAGAATGTAGAGTAGTTGTTGTTGCAAAAGAAGAAATATGAAGCAATGTTAAGTTTCAGTATCAAAACTTGAGAAAGGAAACTAGAAACACAAAAGGAAATTACTCGTTTCAAAAATGGTAGCAATGATTGGAGAACTGCGAAGGGTATAATGTTCAGCAGTTTGTTGTCTCCTTGCAGTTTCTCTTTGGAGTGCATTAGCAGCAGCAGCAACAGCTTCATCCCTAAGCATTTGTTGTTGTCTCCTCTTCTCAGCCCTTTGGAATACAATGATTTCTTTGGAGTGTTTCGCTTCCACTGCTTTAGCAAATATGCTTCATGAATGACATCCCCAGTGAAATCAGAAAGAGAGATCGTTATTTTCTTCTTTCTTTTTAATGGTGTCTCTTGCTCTTTCTCTGCTTCCTCTTCTTCCACGTGAGCCTCAGGTACCTCCTCTTCAGGATCAAGCAAGAACTTTCTTTTCCTTTGTTGTTGCTGCTTGCTCTTGAGGAGATTTAAAGCTTGAACTCTTTGAGGATAGTCTCTCTGTGAGGCACCTACACCAAAGAAGGAACTATAAGTAAAAAGCAAAAGCATCATAAAGAAGGAGAAAAGAAAAGAAGCGGTGCATACTTTTCTTCAAAGCAGCTCGAATAACTCTAGGAAGAGGTGAGGCAGCAGGAGCAGACTTTGTAGTAGCAGGAGTAAGAGCTGGGGTAGCATAAACAGTAGAAAAAGTAACAACTCCAGTCCCTTTGGACTTAGCTTGAGGCACATCTAGTACCAGTAATAGATCTTAAGGAGAAATGGCAAAGTACACCTCCATATTGGCCATCCACCAATTCTGATACCTTTTCAGTGTGTTGCTTTGAGGAATAAAGGGTAGGTATTCAAAATCAATCAAGTCTTGGATGAACTTGGAGGTTGCCTCTTCCAATCTGGATCTTGGAACTTTCAGTTCTCTGTTCGCAAGGTTTGAATTGGACTGACTGCAGAGAGGAATAGAGATCCCTTGAGAGAGTCCAAATTGCCTAGCAAATTGGGCAGGGTAATAGGACTCAGAGATACATTTATAAGCTCTGGAGTTCATAGTACCAATGAATAGCTCCCTCGAGATCAAAATAAAAACCCACATACTTCTGTGTTGAGGCCTAGAGTAGGACTTATTGTTCAAAAAGGTCCTCAACCAGGCTGGGCCAATATTGGCTTCGAATGGGCAGAAGAAGGTGTGAGAAGAAGGGGAAGTTGGGAGTTGGTGAAAGAAAGAAAAGTAGAAGGCAAAGTTGAAAGGATAAAGAGAGACATTGACTAACTTCATACCATAAATGGTAGGGTTTGGTACTAAAAACTTTAGACACTTAGAACGCAAGTCACTATAAGATGAGTTCAAAGGGAGAAGAGAAAAAAGAATGCTGAGGTCGGGGTAGTTTGGACCAAAGGGAGTACCAATAAGGGATAATCCTAACAGATGGCAGATGTCAAGGACAGTAGGAGCCATCATCCCACATCTAAATTAGAAGAAATTGAAAGCAGAATTCCAAAAACAAAGAGCAGCAGGTATTAAAAATAAGTGCTCCGAAATAGTGAACCTAGACAGTTGAAGGGCGTCGAAGAGGCAAAGTTCCTGAAGATCCAGTGTCCTAGCAGGAACAATCTGATCACACCATTCCCCTCATTCTAGTCTTACTGTGGGCCAGCAGCGATGGGGTCAGTTCACTCTCCAGCTTTCCCAATCAAGACCGCCTTCATAAAGGCGGCAATGATCCTCTAAACGCAAGTACAGAGCTGAAAGTTGAGTAGGGACCTCTTTAAAAATAGGCCCAAGCACATACTCTTGTTGTTCATGGCAACGGAGAATGAAAATTCGCCCATCAATAGCACTTTTCTCGCCAGCTTTGTATTTCTCACACTTTTCAGCAATGATCCTTTTTAAGGCTACGGATAGGCTCACACGCTCCACGACTGGTATCTTTGAGGAAGAAGAAACCATTGACAGGAATTTTCAGAAGACGAAGTTAAGAAAGAGGGTAAAGAAGATGAGAAGTCAATAGCGATGAAGGGTTTGTGTGTTGGGCGAGCAAGTAAATTAAAAGCACAAAAAGAAGGGTTTTAAACCTTTCTGTTCGAAAAATGCCCAATCGTTTTAAATGAGTAGAATTCATAAAGAAGTACTGAAGATACGGATGCGAAAAGTTTCTCTCAATTTTGATAATTTGGGAAGAAAACGTATCTCAAATACTTATATTGGCTTCGAAATCAAATATTTGGCTTTGAAGCCAAGCTTTGGCTCCAAAGTCAGGTGACAAACATCCAGCTTGGTTCAAAAGCAAGAAGTTGACTTCGAACCACATTTCATACCTAAGAGTACAAGAATGCTCAGGTGTTTGTTTACTTCAAGGGGATTAAAGACTTGCTTTTAGGTTTCTCGTTAAAAGTAAAATCTTTCGAAGTAAAATTTGAAATACTCAACAGTTAGAATTTGTTTGTTCTAGACTTCAAAACAACAAAAAAACCAATATTTGGTTAAGCAGCAAAGGACACAAAGAGACTCACTCTTTTAGAATAAAACGGTGCAATCCTTAAGGGAAGTTTCTATACTTCGAAAAATGTAGACTGTTTTTTCGAAGCAAAAATAGTTAATTCGAAACTGTTGATTGTGTTAACCATATGATTGGAATGAGAAGACCTAAGACAAAGATTGTCAATTACACTCCATATGTTGGGGAAATTCAAATTAGGTTTTCAGTATTCTATTGGAAATGTTCAAATCAGGTTTCGAATGACAAAATTGGTAAATTCGAAGCTCTAATTTTGTTTGCTTTGTGCGAATAAAATAAAATCAGACCATGCCGAATAAAGAAAGAAAAGCTTAGCTTTATTAATATGAAAGTAATTACATCAGAAAGCATTTTTGGCTACAAATTCAATTTCATAAAAATAATGAATAGAAAAAATAACAAGGTCATGGAATTTGTTCCAACAGTGGTCAATGAATTTATGTTCCTTTTTTATTCTGTCTTCTATCCTCTCCAAGCTAGGTTGCTGTAGCTGATATGCTCTTATTTGACGAAAAAGTTGTTCAGCTTTTATTTCGAATTCTATTTCCTTCAATCCTTATTTCATCTCATCCATATCTAAATCATCACAGCATGCAGAATCTTTATTCTTGAAGTCATTATATTCGTCGATGAGGTTCTTTGCTTCATACTGGGTGGGAATTCGATGGGCTGAGATTTTGTCCAAAGATTGCGTGGTAGCCAAAGAAGTTTGGTACCAATGAAAAAGTAGTAGGAGTTGATCCAAAAACATCTAAAGTTCTGCTTGAGCAATGGGGTTAAAAACATGACCCCGAGCCATAATGTCACAACCCATCGAAAGTTCTTAAGAGGAACATCACCTCCAAGAATATTGAAGGGCAAGTGAGAAAAGGCTGCAAGCAGAAGTTGAGCTTGATATCGCTCAAATATAGTGGAGGGAGCTGGAGGTTCGTAGGAAGGAAGAAACTGATTCTCAAAGAGAATAAGTCTCAGTTCTTCCATCCAGTGAGGGTTTTGAGGAAGAGGAAGAGCAGGAGGATCCATCCCAAAGGAAGAAGGGAACTGGGGGTTGTTTACACATTTAAACCAGTCAGACGAGCAAAATTTTGCCCTCTGGGCTAAGAATGACGGGTTGTACCTTTGTGCTTCCTCTAGACAACGAGTGGCTCACACTATCTTCGTAGGCGTGGAAGATGTGTACCATGCTATAAATAAGTTGTTTTCCAAACTGCGTCGGCGATCGATGGATACATAGGGGTAAACCACCAAGCTCTAAGCAAAAGGAAGGAAAGACAGAGGATCAGCGAATTTGACAAATTGATGGTTAATTCGCTCTCTTAGCTTGGATTTCTCAGGTTCTGGCTAGCTTCCCCAGCCAGAAGTTTTAGAAGAAGAAAAGGAAGCCGCAGCCTCATTCCACGCAGAAGGTTTTAGGGTAGAAGAAGAGCTTCCAATATCCAATTTTGCAAAGTCTTGGACTAAAGAATTATGAACAATAGGTTCATGATCCAAAGGTCGATGATTTGCAAAAGCTTCCATGACTTGAATAAATGGAGATGGATAGGTGTGGCTAATAAATGCATGAAAATTCTTTCGAGGACGAACATCATTATCTGACAACTCCTCGTATGCTTGATCTATGTCAAAGAAGGTTTGTTTGGTCATGCAAACTGTATCAGTCTTTTCGAATGCTCAGATAGTGGGAAATGTTCAAGGTGTAAAAAAGAATTTAATGCAGTCGGTTGTAGTTCTAAGAAGATGTAAAGCCCATGCACGTCCTAGGACATGGGTAAAGTGCTTTGATCCACTAATATCACCAAGTATTGGGTATATTAGTGTGGGGGTAATGTTGGCTGTATAATTTGTATAAGCCAATCACAATTCAACACGTGGCATGAAAAGGGCAATTTGGAGAGGTAATATAAATTGCCAACCATAGTCAGACACGTGTCAACCCATACTGGTAATAATAGGTCTGTGTAGCATTAGAATGATCGAGGAATATAAGGTGATGTGGCCTAACAGTTACTCACAAGGTTTAAATTCAAAATCAGGAGGGAAGCCTAACTGCAAATATGGTGTAGTGGGGTTGACTGTAAGAAAGCATGTTCAGCGATCATGGAGGGACATTTCGACGGTTATGAGACATTTCGACGGTTAGGAGACTACTTCGACGGTTGTCATTGAGAAGTATAAATAGCAGAGAAGGCCCCAGAAAAGAGGATCCAGACTCGGATCAAAAAACCAATTTTATCTACTTTATTTTCCCTTCCAATTTTTACAGTTCTTTACATTTCTGTACTTCAAATTCCCGTATTGCACTTCATTCATAGGAGTAGTTTCAAATAGCTTGTTGATGTAAATCTCTACGAGGCTGGGTCAGATCATTGTAAGTTTTTCATTTTACTTAATGAAATTCTGCACTTATTCTTCACTTAATTGTTATTTACTAAATTCTCCTAAACAAGTCACCGGTAAAAGTCCTCTTCATTGAAGCTGAAAGAACTAAAACACAATCTTCTGATACTTGATTGGCAATTAATTTTCTGTAAGGATTAATTGATTCTTGGTGGCACAAAATTACAATACTAACTTTCGAAAGCCAAAAAAGCCAACACAAATAAAAAAAAGAATCGATCCCATTATCTGGAAGAAAGAACTTCCTGCGGTCTAATTTGGACCCCATTTGGTAAATTTTACTTTCTACTTTATTAGCTTAAAGTTTTGAAAATGTTCGTTGTGAGATGTTGTACTTCGGCAAAACCTACTGTTTCGTAAAAAAAATTTCAAGTTTTCAGCTTATTTGCGAGCAGACAGATGCAGCTTGTATGTAGGCAAGTAAATATATTAGAACTGTGATGAGTACATTCATTACCTTAAGCTTTCCCAGTGAGTAAAGATGGAAAAGCTTGTCTAGATGTGGTTGCCATAGGTGACTATATTGCACCAGGAAGAAACCAGCCTGAAAATATTGGCTTCGTTAGTTCAAGCTCAAAGAATCCAATATCATGCTAAAATTTTCTGATCCCAAAAAAGAATTCATTGAAGCAAATATCAAAGCTATTTAGACCACAAACAAAATAAGTTTTGGATAATGAGAGAACTTTGAATTGATATTTCAATAAAATTAGTCATAATGTCTTTTGGAAATTTCCACATACAATCCTTTTCATTTGCAAGATTAAATTGAATCCTGAATCTAGCTAGGGGTATGTACAGTTAAACAAATCCAAATTCAGTTGCACCACCTGCCAAAATGGATACGACAAACAAACTAGCCTCTCCCAATATTGACTATTACTATTATGAATTAGGACTACATCATCACATATGTAGATCAGCATCACTATCGTCCATGAAGCAATGAAAATATGGATACAGGGAATGGGTACGGCATCATATGGACATGATGTTATGACAAATTCAGCAAACATAGGATCAGTAGCTTCTGGGGGCTTTGTTTATGTTTCTAACTGAAAATGTTAAAATTCACATAAGAAACATACGTCACATAGAGAAGGATTGGACCAAATTCACACAGTTATCCTTGTAGCTCTCAGTTCTTATTCAACAAGTGGTCCAAGTATTTGAAACCCCAAATCTGCATCTCAATGTTCAAGACATGTTGGACACATGTCCTAGAGTTTTTGAAAAGTCTTGGACATGTTCAAACTAGAAATTTTATTTCAATTGATGGTACATTCAAAAGAATCAGGCATGCATCAATAAGTATGCAATATCCACTTAACGTTGTGTACACAACTCCTTAGTATAAGCATTCATTCTTCTTAGACCGTCGTCAACATCATAATTGTAAGGATACTTATGAGTGATAGGGACACAATCAATAAAATGAAGTGTTAATTCTCAAGCCTAAGATAGTTGTTATCTATTTTTGATCAGCAACAAAGATGAAACTTTATTAAAGAGAGGGATTGAGTAGAAAAAAAGGGAAACAAGAAGTCTGCCAAAAGGACAAAAAGAACAAAAAAATCTCACAATCTACATACAACTCTCCAATCCCTAGAAACTAGAAAAGGTGGCATATAGTCATTTCCCGTAATCTTCCAACAGTAATATAACATCTATCTAAAATCACACTCATAGCTTCACGCAAAGACATAATCTACAGTGATGATCATAATGATAATAAGATCCATCGTAAACTAACTACACAAAATTCATGAAATAAGTCCAACTTACCACAGTTTGGCTTTTAGCTAGAAGCTTCTCACATAGCCCAGTGTAATTCAAAGGCTTCCACCCATGCTCTCCTTGATACTAACCCAAATTATCAATTCATCAATAGCAGATCAAAATTATGAGAAAGAAACCAAGCAGAGCCATTCAGAAATATACAGATGTGCAGTCATGATGTACTAATTCTTTGATTTATAGAATTTAAATTTCAGGCTCGACAGGGTTTAGTACAGACTGTATTCCAGAGGAATACATTATAGCAATACTGAAATAGTTAAATAATCAAATTTAAAACATGATTAGTAACCATGTTTTGCCCTTGAATTTGTTGAATAAAATAATATTAAACGATTGAATAAAATAAAACAAATAAATTAAACTAAAAGCGTGTTTGCTAAAAACACTTTCAAAAAACGTGTTTAGTAAACACGTTTTAATTTTAAAATGTTTGATCCAAAAGCGTGGGTGAAAAACATGACTCTAGCGCATGTCTCATCAGTAAAAAATATATGAATTTCTAGATGCAATCATTGATGCTGAAAAGGAAGAGAAAATAAAGTGACCATTGAGGAAGCAATCCAACAAGTGACATTGGAATATAACATTCATGAGGGGAGCCTATTTACCTGAGAAATCATTCCAATCACAACCATACGCCCATGGACTGCCAGAGCATTCAAGCACAGATCAAACATTTCACCACCAACAGACTCATAGACAATATCAACACCCTTTGGGAACTCCTTCTTTAGAACCTGCAAAGTGAAGGTTATAAACACAATTGCAAATGACCATAGTTAATTTGTATTGGGAGGTTGGGTGGAAGAATCAGACATCAAAGCATCCTGTTACAACTAGAACTTGGCAAAGGAAATCAAGGTAGATGGTAAATGTAGACATTTTACTGAATTATTTGTCGTACATTCCACACATTAGAAGACATGATCAAGAAGGAAATCTAAGTCATGTCAAGTCTTCTGCTAAGGATTTCAAGCTCAGATGACCAGCAAACTAGGTCCACATTCAAATGACTATCTCTATCTTTACGGAAACATGTAGATATAAGCACACAGACAAAACATTGGTTAAATTCTAAGTAACTCATTCTTAGTCCTAAAATTCAACTCATTCTTGATTTGCATTCCTCAGTCATTTGATGGGTGGATTCCCGACATCATCACCATCAACCTTTTCTACCTTCTTTTATTTTTTATTTTTGGTTGGGGGAAATGTTTCCACATCCGAGCATAATTTTGGTTAAGGATATGCAATATGGATATTCAAATATCCCTCTCTTAAAGGCAATCACCTGCAATGCATGTTTGTCATGTGAAAACAAAACCATCATAAGAAAATGCATTTGTAGGAATCTCAAATAGTGACCAAGGAAAGGAGCTGATCCATCCCCGTATGTGTGTGTGTGCACGCGCATGTGCAAACTGTTAGAATTTACCATCACCTACCACCAATTTACCATCACCTACCACCACCTACTCCTCACCTACTCCTCACCTACTACACTCACCCTCTCCTATATAATGAGCCACTCACCATTTGTAATAAATATCAATCAATATATCAATCATAATATATACACAATTTATGCTCTCTCTCTATCAGTTTATTTTTTTACACAAACACTATCATTTAGTCAGCAATTTCAGTTTAGCCAGGAGAAGGGGGCAGAATCAAGGATGATAGGAAATTGTTATATGGCAACAAATTGAAGTAACAATTGGACAAGTATATCCCAACAACTTCTGCCTGAGCTTAAACAGAATATAATGTAGTTTGCAGGTTATGTTAACCAGATAGAACAATTAATAGTCAACGCTTTAATTGCCTTGTTTTATTGATGGCCAAAATTACAAGCCAAAAATTGAAATGAGAGAGACTTGAAAGGCTGTAAGCATCGTAAAATAAATAATAACCAAAAAAAAAAAAAAGAAGAGTAGAAAACCCTAAAAAAACTAGAGTTAATGAATTAGAAGACATACAGTCTTGATATCTTCTGCTCTATAGTCAATGACACGATCAACTCCCAAATCTTTCAAAAGCATAGCCTTTTCTTTACCTCCGCAAGTTGCAACCACTTTATTTCCAGCCAATTTTGCAAGCTGCATTAACCGTGGCTCAAAATTAGTAAACTCGTTATCATAATAAGATTATAAAGTTTTAATAAAAATAACATATCACTTCATTTAATCAATTTATTCAAATGCACCAAAAATTTAGATCTAGAACATGCAAAAGCCCAGTGCATGAAGGATTAAAAAGGAAAACAATTACAGACTAATTGTTTCTGCATATAAGAAATAAGTAAAAATAAAATAAATTCCCTCTCCTCATGAAAGTGTTAGCTGTCTTTCTTGTAAAGTCACCACAAAGTCATGTTGCGGATCTGAACAAGGATTCTGCCTGGAAGGATGTGGGGCATCATCGCTGGTGTTGTCATAAACTGCATGGGCTGACCAGTAGAACGGGTGAACCAGTAATAAACCCTCACCCATGCTGCTTGACATCATAAGACCAGAATATCATAGCTTCTACTAAAAGTAGACCTAACTACCTGGCAAGGAGAAATTCATACCGCAATGACTTCTGTGCCACTTTCATGCTCAATCCAACAAGCCAAGTCCAACTTTTTCTTATATGCTTGAAACAATCAGTTTTTATTTTTTTACAGAAACAGAGTGCATTCACCAAGTCAACCTACATTGGCCGCTAGACACAAATGCTAGAGCCCTATCTAGCAGTCTCTACTCACAATGGCTGGTCACATTTTTTTAACCTAGTAATAATAGCACCAATTAAGTCGATGTCCTTCAACTCAAAAGCAACAGGCTAACACATCTTTGAATAAATTTATATGGAGACCAATTAGAAGCAACCATAATCCTATATTCGTAAGTAAACCTGGACTGCAAACTGTCCAGTCCCTCCTGCCGCAGCTGTTACAAGGACTACTTTTCCAGAATCCATTTGTGCTGCCTACAAGATTCATAATAGAAGAATAAGTTAGTCTTGTGTGATGCTTGATTAAGTGGAACATATGAAGAATAGAACATTCCAATCTAGAACAATAGTTACAATGACTGAAAACCTAAACTTTTGTTTGCTAATGACAGTTGTTTCCATCTCACAAATAATGTGGTGGACAAAATCTTGAACAAAATAATTTTTTGAAGGAGCAAACCTTTTCTAGAGCTATTGATGCTGTAAGTCCAGATGTAAGCATGGCAACAACTTCTGCATCAGGTCTTGGCACAGGAAGGATGTGCTTTGAGGGAACCTGTTAAACAAAACAAAAGGTTACCTTTAAGATAGTGTATCATTGTGTATCATTGTAAAAATTTAGAAATGATATTTTTCAAGATAGTGTACCATTGTGAAAATTTAAAAATTATATTTTTCAAGATAGTGTACCATTGTAAGTTCGGCGTAACTTCCAAAAATCATGAGCGCAGCAGGTTTGCCAACTTTTAAGTTCTTAACAGAATCGCCCACTGCAGCAATTATTCCGACAGCCTGAAATGTAAGGAGATAAAATTCATAGTCAAAAGGAGTTAACAGTGAGGAACATCAACGAAGTAATACCATTCACCAAAAACTGGCAAGAAAATGAACTAAACAGAAATTCTCTCTCTCATCTAGCTCTGATAGAATATGTATCAGCTTTCTATAACAAATTGCTGGAGTACAGTGAGTTGTGAGCATATGATGAGCTACCACAGGGCAGTGCACGTGCACGTGCACACACATGCAGGTTTTATTTCTGGCATACTACCATAACCAATTAAACAGTGAAATAGAATCTTCTACAGCTGGAAAGAAACCTTCTTAGCTCTCTTTCTTTCTCTATCTCTTGTTGAATATTATGGATTGCTAAGAATCCTAGCTAAGGCTAGGGGTGAAACCACACCATGTTTATAGTATTTGCTTCTTTGATTCTCCTATGTTTTAATGTAAGATTTATATTTTTAGATTGATATGATTTAATGATGTTTGTGTTCTGTAAAATCTTTGGTTTTATCCTGACTTTGGATACGTACGATTTAGTGAGATTTACTGTCATTTGGGTTATGATAAACTCTTGTAATTCCCTAATGATCAATTATATAAATCAATCCTTCAATATTATCTTTATGAAATCACCGCTTCATCTTCCAACTCGAACCGCTTCTCAGTTGATTTTCAGTTGAGCTAAAATCATAGACTTCTTGTGTGTGTATCCTTGATGCCTTCGTTTTTATCCAAATGTTTTTCAAAATTATTTTCAGAATTGAAATACGGCAAAATCCAATTTCTTTATAATCAATTTATTTCATTTTATTCTATCACTTAGTCTGTGCTCTAAATCTCCCTTTCCCTGTGATTTGGCCTTTTGCCTCTCCAAGAAATACTACTTCGCGACAATCTGCACTTAGTAGCACTATCAAAGTCTTACCGGTTATTATTTACCTTATGATTTGAAAGTAGCATCACCAATTCCATGCTCAAAAGATGGAGGTGACATCCATTAAGTTGGCAATCAATCCGAAATTGTTACTCATTATGAGAAGTGAAAAGTTCATTCATATATATTTTTGTATTGTCAGCAACGAAAGAGCTAGGACTGCCCCTCTTTTAGATGGATTGAAGCATAGCAACAAGAATCTAACGCTTAATCACCCACCCCCTCTTTTAGATGACAAAGAATGAGAAGTTAGCTTGAAGATGTTTCACATAACCTTAAAAGTCCCCACAATTTGAGGTATTTGGGCATGCATTTGTTTATCCAATATATATACACACGCATTCCAGGATTCTAAATTTGAAGATGGAATATGTGCCAAGCTTCTCTCAGTAAAGAGAGAACCTTTTTCTTTTGTCGTCAAAGTAACATAAGCATGCATGTATCTCAACATAACCTAGATACTGCCAGGAAAAGAAAACACGTAATGACTTCATAACGGATTCGAATATGAACTCAAAACAAATAATAATAACAATAACAACAACAACAACAGCAGCAGCAGCAGCAGCAGCAGAACAATCACGAGTAATTGTTGGTTCACAAAAACAAAAACAAAGAGTAGGAAATTTATGGAGAGAGAGACAGAGAGAGAGAGAAGAAAATTCTCCAACATTACACATAAACTACAAGCACAGAAGACAATATTTTATTTGAAATTAGAGCAAACATCATCATTAGGTATTAACTATTGCTTGTCAGAGCAAATCCAGGTCAAATCAAGCCTTACGTCCCAAACAATTGGGGTCAGCCACAAATCATTTTATGTCATTCCGCTCTATCAAAGTCTATATGTTTAATTCATATTATTTTTTACTACAACAACCCATGTCAGTTTAGGACTTTGACTTCCCCCAGGCCACCACATTCCATTTACAGTGACCATATCATTCTTCATTGCTGTTGCATCTGCTGATCTTCGTTATACATGACCAAACCCTCTTTGTCTGTACTTTCTCAACTTATCCTCAATTGGTGCTTGCTCCTACCATTTCACAAATGTTTTCATTTCTAATCATATATTTATTGGCTTTACCACACATCTATCTTAGCATCCTTATCACAAATACACTTATTTTATCAACTTCTTGTTTCTTAGCTGCCCAAAATATCAATTTGCAATTGTTCAAAAACTTAGAAAATATGAGGAAGAAGAACTCCGAAAATATGAGGAAGAAGGAATATATTTCTGTTATATTCAAAACTTCTTATTTTACAAGACCAAATGACACTCCTTATATAGGAGATATTACAAACATCATTATAACCCATTATATGCCACTTACATATTATATATTACCACTACCTACCACTATCATATTATATACATGCCACTATCTACCACCAACACCACTATCATATTATATACATGCCACTATCTACCACCAACACCACTATCATATTATATACATGCCACTATCTACCACCAACACCACTATCATATTATATACATGCCACTATCTACCACCAACACCACTATCATATTATATACATGCCACTATCTACCACCAACACCACTATCATATTATATACATGCCACTATCTACCACCAACACCACTATCATATTATATACATGCCACTATCTACCACCAACACCACTATCATATTATATACATGCCACTATCTACCACCAACACCACTATCATATTATATACATGCCACTATCTACCACCAACACCACTATCATATTATATACATGCCACTATCTACCACCAACACCACTATCATATTATATACATGCCACTATCTACCACCAACACCACTATCATATTATATACATGCCACTATCTACCACCAACACCACTATCATATTATATACATGCCACTATCTACCACCAACACCACTATCATATTATATACATGCCACTATCTACCACCAACACCACTATCATATTATATACATGCCACTATCTACCACCAACACCACTATCATATTATATACATGCCACTATCTACCACCAACACCACTATCATATTATATACATGCCACTATCTACCACCAACACCACTATCATATTATATACATGCCACTATCTACCACCAACACCACTATCATATTATATACATGCCACTATCTACCACCAACACCACTATCATATTATATACATGCCACTATCTACCACCAACACCACTATCATATTATATACATGCCACTATCTACCACCAACACCACTATCATATTATATACATGCCACTATCTACCACCAACACCACTATCATATTATATACATGCCACTATCTACCACCAACACCACTATCATATTATATACATGCCACTATCTACCACCAACACCACTATCATATTATATACATGCCACTATCTACCACCAACACCACTATCATATTATATACATGCCACTATCTACCACCAACACCACTATCATATTATATACATGCCACTATCTACCACCAACACCACTATCATATTATATACATGCCACTATCTACCACCAACACCACTATCATATTATATACATGCCACTATCTACCACCAACACCACTATCATATTATATACATGCCACTATCTACCACCAACACCACTATCATATTATATACATGCCACTATCTACCACCAACACCACTATCATATTATATACATGCCACTATCTACCACCAACACCACTATCATATTATATACATGCCACTATCTACCACCAACACCACTATCATATTATATACATGCCACTATCTACCACCAACACCACTATCATATTATATACATGCCACTATCTACCACCAACACCACTATCATATTATATACATGCCACTATCTACCACCAACACCACTATCATATTATATACATGCCACTATCTACCACCAACACCACTATCATATTATATACATGCCACTATCTACCACCAACACCACTATCATATTATATACATGCCACTATCTACCACCAACACCACTATCATATTATATACATGCCACTATCTACCACCAACACCACTATCATATTATATACATGCCACTATCTACCACCAACACCACTATCATATTATATACATGCCACTATCTACCACCAACACCACTATCATATTATATACATGCCACTATCTACCACCAACACCACTATCATATTATATACATGCCACTATCTACCACCAACACCACTATCATATTATATACATGCCACTATCTACCACCAACACCACTATCATATTATATACATGCCACTATCTACCACCAACACCACTATCATATTATATACATGCCACTATCTACCACCAACACCACTATCATATTATATACATGCCACTATCTACCACCAACACCACTATCATATTATATACATGCCACTATCTACCACCAACACCACTATCATATTATATACATGCCACTATCTACCACCAACACCACTATCATATTATATACATGCCACTATCTACCACCAACACCACTATCATATTATATACATGCCACTATCTACCACCAACACCACTATCATATTATATACATGCCACTATCTACCACCAACACCACTATCATATTATATACATGCCACTATCTACCACCAACACCACTATCATATTATATACATGCCACTATCTACCACCAACACCACTATCATATTATATACATGCCACTATCTACCACCAACACCACTATCATATTATATACATGCCACTATCTACCACCAACACCACTATCATATTATATACATGCCACTATCTACCACCAACACCACTATCATATTATATACATGCCACTATCTACCACCAACACCACTATCATATTATATACATGCCACTATCTACCACCAACACCACTATCATATTATATACATGCCACTATCTACCACCAACACCACTATCATATTATATACATGCCACTATCTACCACCAACACCACTATCATATTATATACATGCCACTATCTACCACCAACACCACTATCATATTATATACATGCCACTATCTACCACCAACACCACTATCATATTATATACATGCCACTATCTACCACCAACACCACTATCATATTATATACATGCCACTATCTACCACCAACACCACTATCATATTATATACATGCCACTATCTACCACCAACACCACTATCATATTATATACATGCCACTATCTACCACCAACACCACTATCATATTATATACATGCCACTATCTACCACCAACACCACTATCATATTATATACATGCCACTATCTACCACCAACACCACTATCATATTATATACATGCCACTATCTACCACCAACACCACTATCATATTATATACATGCCACTATCTACCACCAACACCACTATCATATTATATACATGCCACTATCTACCACCAACACCACTATCATATTATATACATGCCACTATCTACCACCAACACCACTATCATATTATATACATGCCACTATCTACCACCAACACCACTATCATATTATATACATGCCACTATCTACCACCAACACCACTATCATATTATATACATGCCACTATCTACCACCAACACCACTATCATATTATATACATGCCACTATCTACCACCAACACCACTATCATATTATATACATGCCACTATCTACCACCAACACCACTATCATATTATATACATGCCACTATCTACCACCAACACCACTATCATATTATATACATGCCACTATCTACCACCAACACCACTATCATATTATATACATGCCACTATCTACCACCAACACCACTATCATATTATATACATGCCACTATCTACCACCAACACCACTATCATATTATATACATGCCACTATCTACCACCAACACCACTATCATATTATATACATGCCACTATCTACCACCAACACCACTATCATATTATATACATGCCACTATCTACCACCAACACCACTATCATATTATATACATGCCACTATCTACCACCAACACCACTATCATATTATATACATGCCACTATCTACCACCAACACCACTATCATATTATATACATGCCACTATCTACCACCAACACCACTATCATATTATATACATGCCACTATCTACCACCAACACCACTATCATATTATATACATGCCACTATCTACCACCAACACCACTATCATATTATATACATGCCACTATCTACCACCAACACCACTATCATATTATATACATGCCACTATCTACCACCAACACCACTATCATATTATATACATGCCACTATCTACCACCAACACCACTATCATATTATATACATGCCACTATCTACCACCAACACCACTATCATATTATATACATGCCACTATCTACCACCAACACCACTATCATATTATATACATGCCACTATCTACCACCAACACCACTATCATATTATATACATGCCACTATCTACCACCAACACCACTATCATATTATATACATGCCACTATCTACCACCAACACCACTATCATATTATATACATGCCACTATCTACCACCAACACCACTATCATATTATATACATGCCACTATCTACCACCAACACCACTATCATATTATATACATGCCACTATCTACCACCAACACCACTATCATATTATATACATTTTTCAGCGTCCCAACTGTCGAACAGCGGATCATTAACAGCAGGAGGCTTCTTGTCACCAGTGATGTAACTGATCTTTCCTTGTCCACGGATATACATCCGGACAGATTGTGACCAGCGGAGAAAATTATGTAACCGATCTTTCCTTGCCCACGGATATACATAGACCAGCGGAGAAAATTATCACCATTTAGGCGGATGGTGGTGATTTGGACAGAGTGAGAGTTGGACGTTTTCACCGGAATGGCAGCGGCAGGGGTTGAAATGGTTTCGGACGTAACTTCCGACATGGCTATGACGGTTTTAGGACTGCTGTGTTTTTTGTTGCTCTGATACCAACTTAGAAAATATGAGGAAGAAGAACTCCGAAAAATGGGGAAGAAGAACTCCAGAAAATATGAGGAAGAAGAATATATTTCTGTATATTCGAAAAACTTCTTAATTTTAACAAGACCAATGACAACTCCTTATTAGGAGATATTAACAACTCATTATAACCCATTATATGCCACTACATAATTTATATTACCTAACTATCTACCACTATCATTATTATATACATGCCGACTATCTACCAACCACACCAACTATCATATTCTATACATGCCACTATCTACCACCAACACCACTATCATATTATATACATGCCACTATCTTATTATATGCATTAACACAAATTTCCAGCACAAAATACTAGCTCGAAGCATTATGGAAATTAAGTAGTCATCATAAACAGCAATAAGTTCACAAACCAGTCCTATCAAAAGTTGAAAAATACACTGATTACTTAATTCATTATTAACCAAGAATTCTCAATACTCCTAGAGAAGCAACATCAGACCAAAGCATTCTACTTGGTATTTTACCTCAAAGCCTGCATCAAATGGAAGAAGAGAGCCAAGGTCTTTCTTGTTGCCACTAAAATAACTTCCTGAGCTAAAATTAACCTGTCCACAGAATAATTATGTTAGCAAACATTTCAAACTGAGGACAAGTGCAAACATCCTTGACAAGTTCCTCAATCCAATCCAGCTTGACCCAAAAACATCAATCCAATGTGTTAAAAACCAGACAGGGTAAGAAAGATCAGCCAGAAAAAATGGTAACCAGTCTAGCAAACAGTCTGGATGACCCCCTTAAGCCGTTCCCAAGCAAAAAGCACTCTCTTTTTGCAAAATTGCTTAAACCCATGGTTGAACCAGTACCCCACAAGAGGGACCCATGAAACAGGCTGCTCTGAGTCCTTAAATAGTTTATATATTGTAGGAAATGGACCATTTTCCATGTGACGAGGGAATTAATCAATCACTTGTTGCTGTGGCATTAATTACACTATATTATCCAAAATACCACGAGTAGCTTAAATCTGAATTTTGACTCATTCATAACCAAAAGTATCAGGGAAAACTTGAAACTGAACTAAAATTTTACCCAAAGAATAAAAAATACAAACTAGTAACTACCACATACTAAGATATGATGGACAACAAAAACTACCACACAACTACCATTGCTTGATAGGCACGTGAATGATCAGTATGATTGAGTCAAATCATGCCACATTGTGAGCACTAAGACATCTATTGTGCAACCACAACGGATAGCCAGTCATGCAGTTGAACTATCAAAGTCAATTTGATTTTAAGAGGCTGATTGAATCATCAATTTTCAAGATATCCAAACTATGAGTGAATGAGACTTGAGCAAGTTCCCACCAATCATCAATCCAACAAAACAAATTAAAATCAAGCTCAGTAGAGCCACAAACTTACATCACTAGCATTGACGCCAGCATAAATGATTTTCACCAGGACATGATCTGGTTTGATTGGTAACCTCAATGGCGTACGCACTACGCTGGTAGCACTACGAAAATTGTGGCTGAGGGTGTGGACAACTCTGGCGAACAAAAAATTAAAGAAGTCAATGTCAAAACAAAAACAAAAACAAAAAAGAAACATCTGTTGGCTATTCAATAAAACTGAACACATGACAAGTAATCCACTAGATTGGAAGATTCTGCCATAATGAAAATGAAACAAATATGAACTAAGTAACGAGAAGAAAAAAGGAGGCATATTCTGAAGCTATATATGTAGAAGAATTATCAACTGCATGACAAAACCATAGCCTAAAATGCTGATAAAAAAGAAACCATAGCCTAAAATGAGTATCTAAAAGCTTGTCACTAGCATAAAGAACTATAAAAAAGCAGGGGGAGATTGATTGTTCTTCAACCAGGGCTGCCAAATCACATCCATAACAACTTCATCATGAAACTTTATTTCAATTTATAAGAACCTCCCTCTTGAACCAGTGCAGAAGAATCAATATTGTAATTACTGAAACTGAAAAGCCAAAAGTCATATCATCAATTAGTTCTCTGGCAATACCTAACTCAACTTGATGTGTTTCAATTGATTATAAGACATTATAATAGACAAGTATGATACTTCAATTTTTACTTTTTCATCATTACTTCAAAGATTTAATAATTAAAAAATAATAATCCAAGGCAGGGGGCTCCTTGCCCACAAAACCAAATGTGAGGGTTACAAAGAGCTTAATTTTTTAATTCAAACATTAAGGACAGATATTGATTTGCATTGCCCAATAAAAATTAAAGGAAGAAAAACAATCAAGGACGACAGATAATACTCCCCCAATTCTTATCCAGCCTAGTCCTTTGCACATTAAAAACTATAGCAGGATGCTAGGAGCATTGGATAGATGACAATTCTAACAGTAGCATTACTCATGGCTTCTCTCAAACTCTATTTTTTTTTTTTCCAGTGGTAAAAGAAACAACATGCTGCAACAAAATCTATGCCAACTAAGTTGGTCCAAGAATATCTCACCACAGTTCAACTAGTGTTACATTATCCGACTAATTAAAACAGCAACAAGAATTTTTCAGGCCGATATAAGTAAATCAAGGTATTCAATGCGTCTCAGTGAGCCAAAGATGTACAAATTCAATTTTTACCACTAAAAGTGAACACCGTTATATCACAGCCCCATCAACTCTAATAGGTAGAGGAAATTTTGTTGCATAGTAATTCAAACATTTAGCTTCTTGCACCCATAGAGCTGTAATGTATTTTACTTCCAAAATGTCCAAACAAAGCACAAGCAAAAAAGATGATATTAAATTCTACCTCTGCTCATTTTCTTAACACCAAAATTAGAAAGATGTATTTACTTACATTTTCTCAAAGCTCTGAGGTATTTGGATATTCAATGGGGCCACGAATGAAGACCTACTCCTCAATTTTGAAGAAGGTAACAAGTATTTTGTTTCTTCCATTGGTGTAGGCCAATACTCCATGCCCCTTCGTTTAGTAATCCACAAACAAGACCCAGCTTTATTCTCATCCCTGATAAGCTCAAAAGCACCTGAAATACTAATGTAACATCAAATGAAGAAAAAACAACAGACCAAGATTGACTGACCACAGGATATCTTGTAGATGTTTTAGTATTTTGAAGCTATGTTACCTAGAACGTGGATCGTTCCGGTACGTGGAACGGGAACGGGAACATGGCACGCTACATGCTGTAAAATGTGGTACAATAGGGGTAGACTTGTATATATTACACTTAAGAATTTAAGGTATTTCTAAAGTAATTTTCTTTTAACTATTAGGCATCCAATAATATATATACTTTTTGATATTTTTATCTTGTCAAAACTTAAGTCACCTTAGATTTTAGTTCATTATATTTGATTTTTTCCCCTCCTGATGTAACATGCAAGGAAATATATTGGAAAACTTTTGAGATTGCTTCGGATCGCTAAATTTACTATTTTGGAATGAAAGTGTATCATGTTTCGCTAGGATATTAGCGTTTTCTGGTAAGTGGTAATACAGTTTTTGAGTTACCCCCCCACCACACAAGGAGTTGCACCTCCAATGTTTTATAAATTTTTTTTGATCTTCCACCCTGCATTGTTATTTCCCCAAAAAACAAATTCACAGCACCTATTACTGGTGGTGTATTTTTGACCCACATGAATTGCTTTTGTGGGATTTTATCTAGACCTCATCTAAAGCACTATGTGGATCTTTGTTCAATTAATAAATCAGCCCAATGGAATTATCAATGAAACAATCCAAACCATTTGAATTTTTTGTTGGATTGTTTGACATTATCAAATCTAAAGCACTGAAAAATATATTGATCAGATAACATTTTAGGGTAAATTACACTAATCACCCTTGAGGTTTGGAAAAAGTACATTGAGCTCCACAAGTTTGGCATAATTACACTAACCTCCCTTTTAGTAAGGTTAAAAACAACCATGGTTTGTAGACACAATGATAAACAAAGATAAAATATATATTTCAGTGTAACAGAGATGACAATATCATTTTTCCATCCATTAGACTAGTGAATTATTGATGAAAAGGGAGCCAAGCGTTTTGTTAATTACAACTTGAGGAAATTTAATGTAATTATGCCAAACTTGTGGGACTCTTTACTTTTTTCAAACCTCAAAGGGAGAGTAGTGTAATTTACCTGATATTTTATGATCTACATGAAATCTTACGTTGGTACAAGCTGGAATCAGTTTTAAAATGTCACATTTCATTTCCATTTAAAGTTCTGACCCTATAATTCATTTTTGAGTGGTCCTGTTGGCCTCAATTTAACATGCTCCATCTATTCTGTGATTCATTGTTGAAGCATAAACTTGATTAATAAGATATTTAGCTCACTGTTTTTAGTGCATAAGTTTCATCAAAGCAGTTGATGAATGAGCTGGGAGAAATTTAGAGGAAATTACTTCAATGTTGAAGCCAGTGACCATCACAGCGGCCCTGTATATACAAAGCAATGGCACGGAATAAAAGATTATGGAAAGATTGGCAATAAAAACATACCTCTCACCACCATTTCCATGGACACGTAGCCTCCCATTAAACCAATAAGTTTAGAATCCACTTTAGAAGCCAACTCAGTTTCAACAAACTGCAGGAATAATGACAAGTACATCAACAACGACAAAATACTGAGCCTATCCATTTGTTTACAGAAAATTACATTGGGATGAACTTCAAGTGGAGCGTATTGATTGGATTAGAGCTACAGTTTTGCAAAAGGCAACCATAAGAGCCATCGCTACTAAAAATTTGATCCTTTTCCATTAAAGAGAAACATCAATAAATAAAAAAATTGCTAACAAAAGTGGAGGTGGTTGGATTGGTTTTTAAACATAAAAAATACGAGCACTGCTACTATTCATTTTAGAAGTAAACCAAAATTAAACTTGAGGACTGCAAACCACAATGACGATTTCCCTCCATGATCCAGACACAATAACATGTAGTCATTGACAAGAATGTCAATGAGTCAGCTAAGCTATCATAAAATGGATCTAAATTCTGACTTTAGCTAAGCAACGGGGGAAAGCCCATAAAAAAAAGTGGTTTCTTTGAGGACATTTCTATATGACAATAACTATTCTGAATGTTGATTCATAACTTTAGTATATTTCTTCAGGCAAGTTTGTTTCGTCAGTGATTCAATAGATTTCAATCAAGAAGATATAAAAGGGAAAGTACTTGAGAATTTCCTGCCTCCTGCAGGTCAAATTTCTCTCTTCTAGTGATATTCAAATATTTGCATGAGCAGTGTGGAAGTATAATTAATGTGAATTCCTTATACATAATCAGAAGCACATTACACAACAATAATACTTATAAATAGTGTTCATTTCTATCAAGCAGATCCACTGTAAAGATCAGGACTTACCTCAGGACAAAGCACATTGATACGAATTCCTTGTCGCTTATACGGAACAAGTGACCTAGTAAATAGAACCACCCCCCCTATAAAAACAAAATCTTTTTAGGACCCAAAAGGTACATGAAGAGGCAGCAGAATCTATAAATAATAAAATAAAATAAAATAATTGTACATGTCCATTGATGCATATAGGTGTCATTGATACATTGGAAGTACAAAAGGACAAGAGTAATGCTGCCACAAGAAACTTAAAAAAAAAAATTCGGTAAAACCCAGTAGCATAGAGTATAACACAGAACACAAACCTTTGGAGGCAGAGTAGATAGGATCACCATACATCGGATAAAGTCCTGAAGCAGAACCCATGTTTATGATTACACCAGGCTTTTGTGCAGCTTGCATGGTTTGAATCTGCTCACCAATTTTAGATTATTATTTGACTGTTATCAAATATGATGACCATCTAAAATATAAAATGTACAAGATTCAGAACAACGTAAAAGATAAGAAGAAGCCAATTTACAACTGGATGTGAATACATCTCCATGAAACAAAATCAATTCAGCAAAATTTTACAGGAACATGAGCTTAAATCCATCCTGCTTATTTCATAAATCAAACCAGCTCCAATTCTGAAGTTATTCCCCCCCATTTTTGGCAAGACTAACTAGCTGTTACTGAAGCTTGCAAATTACTCGGGTTTTCTTTAGATTTTTAGTTTCCTTGTAATAATTTGGGGGGGAAAAATGGTTCAAGATGCTGATGTATTAAAGGGTCAAATTCTTAATAATTTAAGGGCAAATTACCAATAGATCTTATTTTAGGGACTTATTACCCATTAAGTCCTATTGATAAATTTAGCAGTCTCTTTTTTTTAATTATTAATAAATTTATAGTGATAAATTTATCATCAGGACGTGTAGATAAATAAATCTACCTAATAGGACTAATTGGTAAATGCCCCATAATTTAACATCTAGTGAGACAGTTTCAAAACAGAACCATCTCAAAGCAATAAAAGGAAAATATAACATATAAAATTGTTATCATCTTTGTTTCAATTAAACTGTTTTGTTGCTGTTCAAAAAAATAAAAATAAAATAACATATAAAAAGATTTGGTGCTGCTAAAGCCATACAAATTATTACTAGCAATTATAAGTTTAGAAATCTCATCTCAATTTAAGTCTATTAGTTGTTGTCAACCATGAAAGCCATGGCACAAATTTAAGCATACCGCAAGGCGCGTGCAGTCAATAACTGCAGTGAGGTTCACATTAATAGTGTGTCTCCATGAACGAGAGCCATCCGTTTGATCCTTGTAGAATATCACAGGAGTTGCAATACCAGCACTATTAATACAGATATCCAACCCTCCATATGTTGCCAAATGTTTTTTAAAAAGAGCAGAGAGTTCACCTGTTCATGAAAGAAAGATTACGACAAGTAGTCAAAACTAACCAACTACTCCTGAATTAGAATTGGAATTTCTATATAGAATGAAACTATACCAGTGTGCATAATCCAGACTTATGATGTGTATATATAGTCCTTTCCAAGTTTCCATGAACTACAGGAAATAAGTTGGAATCAAGTTCCTTGATCATCTACCTTGTGTGAAATTAAAGTGCTCCAAATCAAAAATAAAAAATCCTACATTGGTAAACTATTGATGAAAAGTTGTTGAGTAGAGAGAATTTGTCAATTCATGACGTTTGAGGGACCCAGGATTTAATTAATGTAAAATGGCTGGAGTATAACTGTATAAGTAAGATACCATGAGAACAAAACAATAGATCTTCATCATTTTTCCCCTACACCCAATTTGTTTTTGATTTATATATCATTTTTCAGTTCCTTAAATCTCTGAATAAAGTCAGCTTTAAGCCTCCATTTGACCCCAATATATGTATATATATATATCTGCATCTGTGCCAAGCAGATTGCATTAAGAGATGCCAGCAATGACAACTGATTAGGAAGACTGGAAGTCAGCAATTATGTTCTCTCATGGATCCCCTGCCTACAATAAAGTATACAAGCATCTGAAGCCATATAGTATACTACAGATGAGCCCAGTTGCTAAATATGTGTAAATAGATAGGTTATTATTGTTAAACAACGTATACAGTTTTGGCTAATATTGAACATTCACTGTTTTTAGTATGCTGATAGCATCTCTATCTCAACATTGTTAAACAAAATAGACAATGTTAATTATTTCTAGTCATGAACATGACAATACACATACTTGTATTGGTCACATCACATTTTATAAACATAGCAGATGGAAATTTCAACATTGAATGGAACTTGGCATTCTCTTTTTCAACAAGGGCTGCAACTTCCTTTCCCCTCTCTTCAGAGAAATCAGCAACTGTAACAAATATTCCCTTCTCTGCAAGAGCCAAACAAAGGGCTTTACCTACATGCAACCACAACAATACAAAAACATTATTCATGGGCAATTGTTAGTCAATATAAATTTCAAGGTCAAAATCGGCTAACAATTTCATTGCAGCTTTCTGTGCTTTGCAAAATCATAAGAAATTAATCCATTTACATTTGCAAACAAACATCCAACATAATTATCCCAAAAAGAAAAAAAAAGAAAAAAAAAAAAGAAAGATTTAAGTGTCCAGCATGTGTGACCTTGACAAGAGGACCTACAAAGTTGCACAAACATGATACTTAACTAAGGCGTTGTAGAAATTTAATGTATAAAGAGAAATGATTGTATTATTGATTGTTGTATTGATGACTGATATGTTGATTTATATTACAATGATTCATGATTCCTATATATAGAAGAGGGTGAGTGTGTAGTAGGTAAGGAGTAGGTGAAGTGGAGGTGGTAGTGGTGTAGTGTGTTAGGTTTAGTGGAGTAGGTGAGGTGGTAGTGGTGTAGTGGGTTAGGTTTAGTGGAGTAGGTTTAAGTGGGTGAAGTAGGTGGAGAGTAGGTGGATTTTAACAGGCGTCCATGTCACTCGTCAACTTCTTTTTCATTTCCTTGGTAAACAGCCCAAAATCAACAGAAACGATAAATGAGGGGAATCATTTTGGGGGTGAAAGCAAGGGTTTTGTGTTATCTGCTGACGACAGGTTCACAATGCTCAAAAGCTTCAACCAAGAATTGTATAATGTCAAGGATTCGTTCTTGTCTTACTGATGTAAATTCTAGAGTAAACTAAGCTCAGAAGTATGAGAGTTGACTATTAAAAGTACTATGACAGATACTAGATACTTAGTAAATTCTAGAGTAAATTCTAGATACTGAGAGTTGACTATTAAAAGTACTATTACAGTTTTGAGAAAATGTTCGGCAAATGTGCAAGTACTGATAAATATGGAAATTATTTGATGGCTAAGTACTACATCCATGTGTTTTGTCTGCAAGTACAAAAACAGCCTGAAAGCGAACCATAGATCTATTATCTTGCTCAGATGATGAGAATTATGCTTTTGTGACAGCTCTGACATTTTGGGTTATCACAATTGTCCTTGTCAGGTTATTAATGTAAGAAAATAATCCAACAGCAAGTCCACAACCTGATATGTTGTTCTACAGAAGACATAACTCTTAACAGGAGGGAAGCCCAGTAATGTTTGAGAAGATTTGTCTATGAAGTTGTGCAAGAATTTGATAAGAATTAAAACAAACAAATAAGATACATGTAACATTGTCCCAGTAGTCCTAACCACTACATAGTTGAAGACCCAATAAAGAGATGGCTATAACTTTGGTCAGTCCTTCATAATCTATTGTCCTAGTGGCCATTACAGGATATGGTTTGGGACGTGGTCAAGTGGACTATGTACATGTGAATGAGACAAAGCAATGAGAACATGCCCAATAACCTTTGATTTGATTGAGAAGGGACATAACCCTCATATAGGTTTTAATGGCAAAACACAAATTTGTCATGCTATCAACCCCAAGTCATTAGACACTTCACTGGACCCAAAGTACCTTCAACGATTCATTAGAGCTCCTTATAAAGTTTCAGTTCGGCCATTTATTTATTTATTTATTTTTGATAAATAAACAAATATTATAAAAAAGCATCAAGGAGATGCAACAAATACAAAACGGCCACCCCAATTAGGGGAAAATAAAAAAACAAGCACTAACCAATCACATCATCTAAGAAATCTAAAAAGACAAATAGGTCCGGATAAACTTTCCCCTCCAGCCAACTATACAAAACTACAAGAAGACGATTCTCTAACCAAGAGACACCATGTGACACCTCGGAAAAGGTGCGTCTATTCCGCTCCAACCAAACAAGCCACATTAAACAGAATGGCGCCAACAACGACACTTGCCGATGTCGACGCCCAAGCCGAACACCCCGCTAAACCCAAAGAAAATCCAACACTCCCTTTGGTTGAACCCAAGCAATCCCAAAAAGTGAGCAAACAAAACCCCACAATCGCGATGCCACCGAACAATGAAGAAATAAATGGTCCACTGACTCCGCATCAGTACAACACATATAGCACCGATTTACTAAAACATGCCCCTGCCACATCAAATTATCCAAAGTGAGATTCCTTCCTAAAGCTGCCGTCCACATGAAGAAAGCAACCTTAGACAGAATCCCCGAAACCCAAACACTCTTCTAAGGGAATACCCATTCAGCCATTTATTTATTTACATTAAATTTGAAATTAAAATTATATCAAATATTGGGTTAGATTTAAAAACTTGATTGCCCATTCCCGTACAAATCTCAGACCACGACATTATACTCCCTTTTCTTTTACAAAATGGTGAATCTAACTAATAAGCATGCTCTCAATTTTCTGCCGCTCTTGTCTAAAATCCATAATTTTAGTCCTCATCTTTGTGCTTTCATACAAAAGCATCCAACTGTTTACTAACAATATGCTTTCATACAAAAGCGTCCAACTGTTTACTAACAAATATCATCCAAAATTCCAACAGCAAAATCAAGGTCTGAATGCTATCCACAGCAGTTCAAACTTAAATGTTATTGCCCAAAACCAAAATAAGTACTTTCAAGATGCCAACCAGTTTTATCTTTTAACCACTCGAAAGTGACATCAATTCTTTCTAGCCAAACTACCCTTCACCACTATTAGACAATCCCACTTTTTTATTCAAAAAGATCAATGACCCAGTTGTGGAAAAAATTCAACATGATTCTAAATGTTACGATTATGATCCATAATTACTAAACCTGTCAGGAAAAAAAAAATATAATCAATTAACCCTGAGTTATTAAAAATTTCACTAGAGCTTAGAGTATCTTAAGTTGATTCATTAGAAGTCTTAATAACAACCATGCTATCCACAACATTTCAAACTTCCTTTTATTGCCCCCAAAACCAAAATCAGTACTTTCAAGATGCCAACCAATCAATCGTATCTTAACCACTCAAAAGTGACATGAACTCTTCCTAGCCAAACTACCCTTTATCACTAACAGACAAGACAACCTCACTTTTTTTATTCAAAAACATCGATTCCTAAATTGTGCAAAAACTCATTACGATTCTAAACGTTATGATCCATGATTACTAAACCGGTCAGAAAAACAAATATATAATCAATCAACCCCAAGTTATTCGACGTACTTTACTAGAGTTTAGAGCACCTTAGTTGATTCATTAGCAGTCTTGGGACAATTTTGGGAACATGCCAAGGGTTGTTTTGGGAATTAGTTATTTTAGTTGAGTTTTTACGAAAAGAGCAACCCTTAATAACAACCATGCTAATCACAGCATTCCTTAAGTCGATTCATTAGAAATCTTCATAACCACCATGCTAATCACAGCATTTCAAACTACTTTTATCGCCCCCAAAACCAAAATCAGTACTTTCAAGATGCCAACCAATCAATCAATAGTGTCTTAACCACTCAAAAGTGACATCAATTCTTACTAGCCAAACTACCCTTTATCACCAACAGACAACCCCACTTTTTTGATTCAAAAACATCGATTCCCCAATTGTGCAAAAAAAAAAACTCAATAATATTCTAAACGAAACGTCATGATCCATAATTCACTAAAATATACATTATCAAATAGAAATAGAAATAGAGAGAGTTATACCGATTCCGGAGGCACCGCCAGTGACCAAAGCAGAGAGGCCAGGTTTGAGCTCCATTGATTGAGTTGAGGAGGAGGCTAGGGTTTGAAGATTGATCTATTCCTTGTGATGGAGGTGAAGTAACAGAGGGAGTAGTGAAGGAGACGAAGTGGACCCTGCTATTCTCATCATCATCATATCATAGTGTGTATGTGTTTTTATTGTTTTGTTTTTTTGGCAAGTTCTAAATTATTGTTATTATTTATTATTATTATTATTATTTTACTTGATATTTTTTTCTCTTCCCGGATTTAGACCTTCTTGTTATTACCGTCTCTTTTTTGGAGTAAAAATAGTGTGGAAATCATGGACAAGTCAGAAGTCGGTTGGAGTCTCCCTTGTTATATTTACTATTATTTGTATTTTTCAATCATCTTATAATACAGTTATGTTATTTGATAGTTAGTACACATTGTCATATTCTAAATTAAAATAGAATTATTTAAAAAATAAAAATCAAATTTATACTTGTTGATCCCACCTTTAAGAAGAGATTACAAAGGTCTTACTTAATGCAGTCTATAGGATTGTTTATAGTTTTTATTTATTGATTTTAGAAGTATGTCGGAGTGTTTGGTGTTGACAAGTAAAAATAACTTAAATAAATTAAAAAAATAAAATTTGATTATTAAAAAAACGGGGAAAAATAGTTTTAATTTTTGTTTTAGGCCATCAAGTGTCCCTAGCCAACTGTTTAATGTGCGGGAGTGACTATGATAATATGTGTTGGTTTTAGTAAAAAAAATTATGTGTTGATGTTAAATTACAAATATATTTTTTGAGATTTGTTTAAAATATAGATTGTTTTTCATAGTTTGAAAAAATATAAATATTTTTTTATTAGAATTTTTTATTTAATAGAATTAACTAAAAAAAATAAAATTCATAATTGTTCTTCTATACAATAATAAAATTACTTAAATTATTAATTGAAATATATTTTTAACATCTTTAAAAACTGTTAATTGATTTGATGATTTATTAATAAAATAGGTGATTCGTTATGACATGAGAAATCTTAGGGGGTAGAATGTAATTTTCAAAATCACAAGGAATGATTTGTATTTTAATCAAATCTCAAGGGTGTATTTATAATTTATCTAAATTTTTACCCAAATACATTTGTTTGGACGGAATTTATTTTTTTAATGTTTAATGGTGATATGGTAGTTGCAGTGATATTGGTAAAACTTTAATTTTAATTTTTTTTAAAAATCATTTTTTATTTAAATAAGTTTTGCTTTTGTTGTTTTTGTTTTTTATTATATTAAAATGTCATTAAATACTCTTATTTTAAAAAATTGTCATAAAATACGAAAAATACCCAAACAAATAAGTGTTTTGGAAAGATGGTTAAAAACTACTTTTTAACTTTTTTGTAAGAGAGGAAAGTGGGTTAAAAACTGAAAAGTGAATTTTAACCCACTTCTCAAAATAGCCCAAACTAAGTGTAATGATGTTTCACATTTTTTAATGGGTTGGGCTTCCCCTAGTTCAAATCTAAATTAAAAAAAAGTGTTGTCTAAGTTTCTGAAGCTCATCACGGGTCAAGTTTTGATAATTTGAATAATGTATTTTATCGGATTCTACGTGCATATCATCTATTAAAAAAATTAAATTGATCTGATAATTGTAAATACTTAATTTTATTACATTTGTCTAAAAAAAAAAAATCACGGTCAATATGTTTTTTTAAAAATAAATCATTCCTTTATTTTTTTTTGTACAAGTGCAATAAAATGAATGGATTATAAATGCCAAATCAATTTAATTTTTTTTATAAATGATATACACACAAAATATAACAAAATGTACCATTTGAATTATGAAAATATAACTCATAATGAGCCTCACAAACTCAAACTATACCACCAGTCCAAATGATTTACTAGAAAGAAGCACTGCCTTTTTTAAATTTAGAGATGGACTTTTTTTCAATTTATTGCACTCATCTCTAAGAAAAAAAATATACAATAAATTTTTTTAAAATAAATTATTTATTTTTTAGTAATAGATTTGATAAATCAAAGGGATTACGTACGTTCCTTAGTTGGAATATATTTTTGTAGGAAGTTCTGGTGGATTGTGTTTGTAATAGAAGTGTCACTTTTGATAATACGTGGCTTTCAGATTTTTTTAATCCATTCTTGTTGGGACGTTTTTAAGGCTACATTTGATTCGCGGGCTTCATTTGATTCGAGTATAAAGGGTTGGGATCTCCAGTCCCAGTTTTCTGTCTCGGTCCTTTGTGCCAACACTAAAATACTGCCACATCACCCTAGAGTAAATTATATCTTATGCACTTGTAGCATTGGATTATTATTTACGAAAAATGTTAAACATGTCAGAAATTTTATCAAATATCTCATATTGGTGTAAGGCTCACATGTGATTCATATTGTGTGGGCTTACACCTATGTAAGACATTTGATAAAATTTTTAAAATATTTAACATTACTCTATTATTTATGGTTAATCCTTCACTGTTTTCACTGCATTACACTATTGGCGACTCCCCCGCTGCCGAAACCCTTACAAAAGTTGAGGAAAAGGATAGACAAATATTTTGAGTTGGTTTTACAAGTTGGTTAAAAGTTAATTTTTTTATTTTTTAAAAGAAAATATGTAAAAATATACAGAAATAATGTGATAAAAAAATTAAAATTAAAAAATTAATTTTTAACCAATTTGTGAAAATGGCCCTTTGAATCTGAATACTTCCATGAGATTTCTTCATTATTATTTATTATATTAAATCCAACTGAATAATGATAGAGATATTAATTTTCTACTAAATAAATGACCAAATGCCTTACATAGTGTCTGGTCCACTTTTTATAAACTCTACACCCAAGACATTTAATTATTCATTTGATAAAAAATTTGAAATTTATAACATTTTCTAATCTAATTTTTTGAATTTTTCTCTAGCGCTCCAAGATTCGATTGTGTTTATTAACTTTTGCCCTCACAATTCTCATCCTATTCTATTGGTGACCTCATTAAGGAAAATGTTTGGTACCTCAAATTTTTGTGGCTCAAATGGCTCAAATCTGTCAAAACGACGTCGTTTTACACTCAAAATCTGTCAAAACGACGTCGTTTTGACAGATTTGAGCCATTTGAGCCACAAAAATTTGAGGTACCAAACATTTTAAACTCTACACCCAAGACATTTAATTATTCATTTGATAAAAAATTTAAAATTTATAACATTTTCTAATCTAATTTTTTGAATTTTTCTCGAGCGCTCCAAGATTCGATTGTGTTTATTAACTTTTGCCCTCACAATTCTCATCCTATTCTATTGGTGACCTCATTAAATTGGCCTGGTTTGGCAAGTGAACTTTTAGCTTTTTTTAATTAAAATTTACAAAAAAAAAATTAAAATAAACTAAAATAATTAATAAGATAAAATGTCATACTAAATTCATAATTATTTCACTTTTTTCTCATAAATATCACATCCAACTATAAAAAAAATACAACTATCTTCTCAAACACAAAAATTTTAACTTATTAAAATAACTAAAAACTAAAATAACCTATTAAAATGGCCAACTTCCCAAACAAGGCCAGAGGCAAAACTTGCAATTGTATTTTTTTTATGGGTAAATTACATTGATACCTCCTGAAATTTCTGTTTAATACTAATTTTTTCCTCACATTTGAAAAATTACACTTACCCCCTTGTCGAATTAAAATGACATATTTATCCTTTAACCTTTATACATATAAAATAATAAAATAATACATATATTTTGTTCAGGTCATTTCAAGGGAAATAATAATAATCTTTTTTAGTTTAACTCGCACAAAAAATTGAGTTTTTTTTTTTAAAAAAAATTCGTGTTTTTTTTATTTTATTGATTTTTTAAAATATTTTAAACATTTTTTTTTTTTAGATATACCTAATCTAGATATACATAAGAAGTATAATGTTTTGTGATTTTTTTTGATTCACCAAATACAAAAAAAAAAACAAACAAACAAACAAACAAAACAAAACAAAACAAAACAAAAAAAATTCGATACATTATCTTATTTTGTTGTATTCAATGGAGTTTTTAAAAAAAATTTGATACAAATTTTATACTTTTTAAATATATCTAGATTAAATTGATCTAATTTAGATATAATAATGGAAATAAAAATGGAAAATTATATTCATATATATAAATTTATACAAAAAATATCATAAAAAGACAAGATGGTCATTTAGAAAATTTTAGAGCGTGATATCAGCAATCTAGAAGACAATTTGCAATGAAATTATAAACCTGATGAAGGGAAATGTAATTTTTTAAATGTTGTATTCAATGGAGTTTTTAAAAAAAATTGATACAAATTTTATACTTTTTAAATATATCTAGATTAAATTGATCTAATTTAGATATAATGATGGAAATAAAAATGGAAAATTATATTCATATATATAAATTTATACAAAAAATATCATAAAAAGACAAGATGGTCATTTAGAAAATTTTAGAGCGTGATATCAGCAATCTAGAAGACAATTTGCAATGAAATTATAAACCTGATGAAGGGAAATGTAATTTTTTAAATGTGAGCGAGGAATCTGTATTAAACAAAAACCTTAAGAGATGTCAATGTAATTTACCCTTTTTTATTTTTTATTTTTTAATAAATTGTTAAGATATGGTTTTATAAGAAAAAAAACCGAGAACAATTGGATTTAATATAATAAATAATAATGAAGAAATTTCATAGAAGTTGTACGGGAAAGAAATAAACATTCTCGTATAATTCTGTTGATCAAGTCTGCGTTCCTCCGTACGACGTCGCTTTACTCCCTGAAAACACAAACGTGAGCTAGCCGGCGGGTGTGTGCCGGAAACCCCTCCGATACCTAAGTCAGAAAAACAGACAAATAGATAAGAAACTCTGTGAATTCGAGAATCAAAGTTGTGTGTTACCTCTTCATAGGTGATGTTTGTGAGCTTTTATAGGTTTTGCGTAGCACAATCCTAGTAGGACTTTTACTCCTCCATGCAGAGTCCTCCTAGGATTCATACTCCTGAAGGATAATGCTTATCCTTCAACCCCCCCTTACTGCTTACACCAAGTGAGATGGTTCTTCCATGGCCGACCTACCATACGACCGAAGTAATCACGACTATGCTTAGCCGAACCATACCTAG